TGCCTCAAACACAGACGATCGAGTAATAAGAAAAAATAGGACTGCAATGCCTCAGTTAACAATACCAAGACAAGTACATCGAATAAACGCATTTTTATTCATGAAACGAATCCGTGCTCGTAGCCTATGGCTTAAACATAAATTTATGCACATTGTTTCTGTGTATGCTTTGACACGCGTGGGTCTGTTTCCGTGTAAGACAAACCTTGTCAGTGTTACGTTGCTCATGTTGTTGAGCCAATTACAATTTTATATGGTCATTATAACAAAATTTATTTGATCTACCTGAATTGTAGTTTCACTATCGATTCCTTTTTCTTTTCTATCTTAAATAACCCGTTGTATCGTGTTAAGCCTTGTCCAAACAAGTAATATTATAAATCACACCAATTATACAAAATGCATGGCCATATTAATCCGTAGGAATTTTAAAAATAGTATAAAGCTGTTAAGGAGCCTTTGTTAGGAGAAACAAAAAAGCATAGGATTTCCGTATCAAAGTAGTGGAGAGACACAAGAAGTATGGTTTTCCGACGAACTTTATAGCCTAATTTTCCGTAAATTTCCTTCGACTGTTGAATGGCAATTGGTGAGAAAAGCCTCGCGTTCTCATAGATCGCATGATGAAAAAGGTACGCGTAACTTTCGAAGGAGAGAAGAGACGTAGACGCGAGTCGAATTCGCGAATCAAACGGACGTCACATGGGAGTGCCGTCGAGTCAACGGGTCATGTTTTCGCCCACAAGTAGGCCATGGTTCTTCCCGAGCACCTCCTCGCGATTGTAAGGACACAGCGACTCGAACGTATCACTCGATACTCGAGCTGCCCCAGATTAGTGCGCTTGCGTAAGCTAAACCATGTAAAAAATCTTAAATACTGAATTATTTCGATCCTCGAGCTTCTCACACCTCTCTACACGCATCTTCACGACTACGAATGGCAATGTGTGTAAGGACCTTTTGGAGTTCGACACCACTGGCAAAATATTATATATAATCATCGAGAGCTGCAATTGTTTGTCCACTAGTATGAGTACGTATATTAATGATACATTGATGATATTGATAGCAATTCAATATGATTAAAACGAGAGCGCATTATTTTAGATATAAATTAGAAGGAAAATATATTCTACAATGTTAAGCATTACGGTGACAATTACTTTCGAAATTTTTTAATTCCAATATTTATAATTCCACTATAATGTAAATTATAAATATTATATAAAGTATATATAAATTCGCATTTACAGCTTTTTCTGTTTATTAATTTTCTTAAAAAATATTTTCAATAAACAAAACATCGATACCAACAGTACGTAAAATAGAATAATTAGAATTTATAATAATAATAATTAAAGTAATTTGCAAATATATATAAAATTGATTGATATGTAAAATTGAAAATCCTTGTAATTAGTAACTTATCAACTAACCGTGATACTATGAAATACGTCCTTTTATATATAAACAGAATGTGATTAATATTTTTGAAGGCTTACAAATTTCTGAAATACCATTACAAATTTTTAAATACCTATACTCTAATTTATAATTTCAGCATGCCTTTCACGTAATTTATACTAAATAATTCACTTTGTTTTTTAACTATTTATTTAAATTAAATATTCGATAAAAAAAAAATTTATACAAATCAATACCAAAGAATATTAAAGTAAAGTAATCAAACAAAAAAATTCAATAGAAATATTAAAATTAACTTAAAACTCTTTATATTTAATCAATTGATCAAACACTATACAGATTTTTGTGTAGAATAAAAACAAATGAAAATAAATAAATTTAATTTCACAATTATTTAATTCTACTTATAATGTAATATTTAGATGATGATATTACTGTTTATCAACTAAGCTTTTAAAAATATATCAAAATCGCCAACATAAAAATATTAATTCTAACGTATTAAATAAATTCTCTTATTAGATTATTAAATATAAACGTATTAAATGAATATTAAATAATTTCGTAAAATATAAAAATTGGTATTTGAAATAAAAAATCTCTAGAATAAAATTTCAGTTTTTTAATGTTTGTGTGCGTGTGTGTGTGTGTGCGCGCGCGCGCACGCGCTTATAATATAAGACTACATACTTAAAGTTGTTGTTCCAATCAGACATAAATTACTAAACAATTTTGCTATATTACATTTTCGTTTGTATTTAAAAAAATGACCCGTAAAATTTGAGCCTTAAATCATCTGTGAATCAATAATCGAGACAAAGCTTTATTGAGTGAGTAGACCATTAGCTCATGTAATTGCGTGTCTTGCAATTACGCATCAGAATAACAATACTATACTTTCCATTAAAAAGTGTGTGCGCGTTTGCGTGCGTTTCCGTGTGTGTGCGTGCGTGTGTGCGTGCGTGCGTGCGTGCGTGCGTGCGTGCGTGCGTGCGTGCGTGTGTGTTTGTATGTATGTGTGTATGCGCATGCTTATATGTACGTCATAAATCAATTGAAATGTTTTGATGATATCCCGATGTTATAATACATAAAATTCTAAAATATGCCCAAGAATAAAAACAATAACATTTTGTTACAGCAACAACGCTTATTTATCCTGCCTTTATATTTTGCTTCATTCTAATATTTCCATTTTTATCTAAGTATAATTTTTATATCAAAGCGATTTATGTTATTAAAATTTTTCAATTAAACTTTGAAATGAAATAATATTTAACGCTGAATATGATTAAATTTAAATAACTAAATTTCAGCATTATAGACTGCTAGTGACTGATTATTTAATAAAGTTGCCACTGTATATTTAGAGGGAGTTGTAAAACTTTAATATGAATGAACTGAAATGTATAAAATAAATATCTTTCGATTAATTGCTTATTACCATTAATTGTATTTTAACGATAAAAAGAAATTATGTAAAATATACTATATATACTTGCAATTCAAGATATGAAACTTTGTGTAAAACGCCAAAAACTGTTTTTTAAATCTAGAATATTTGCTATAAATCATAATAGGTTTTAAATAAATATTAATTTATGCCTATAAAAGTATTATTATTATTTTTTTTTGCTGAGTGACAGCTCTAGGTGCAGTTTGTGGGCTTTAAAAAATTCACTGAGCTGATAAGCCAGTTGGTATTCAAAGTTACCGATTTGTAACGTCGAAACATAGCAACGACGTCTGATAACTAGAACACGAATCACTTTTGACTGCTGTATAATGAAAAATCAGTGCCAAGGGGGTCTACCATAATTCTCCATTTTATTCTCCTTCCGTACAATTTTCATGTGCATTTTTATTTTATCGGGAATGCAGTATGAAATTTGAGTATATTAATAGTAAAATTTAATTTCCACTATTAAAAATAAGTTATTTTAATGGACTAGCAATAAACTCCGTGTTTAAATAATTTAAATAATGAATTAATATTATTTAATAATTGTATTATTTCCCATTAAAAAAAAAAATTTATAAATTGGATACTTCAATATCCAATAGTATCGAGAATATGGAACTTTTAGATTATATTTTCAATGCAATATTTTTACGATGATTTTTCTGTGTTTATGTCCATCGTGTTTTTAAAGATACTTCGAAATCTCCGACATAAAAATATTAATTCCAGTGTATTAAATGAATTCTCTACTCCCTAATTAGATTTATTAAATATACACAAATCATATAAATATTAAATGAAAATGTTGACAATAAGTTATAATCTGTAATAAATACGAATAACAAAAAGGTAAGTAACTGGTTGATAAAATAATGATAAGAAAATGTTGGATGTTTATTTACACGATTAGAAGTACGAATAATGTTTGTAAATAAATGTATCCTTATGGTTCACTCACTCATTCGATTTGAATTCTCCTCTCGATCAGGTTTCAACGTTCATCGGAACCTCCTTACATTTGTAGGACGTGCCAACCATAAAACAATTAAATGTTATTCTATTTTTAATAAAACTATCTTTATTTTCTCGTTATTTTTAAACTACGACAAATCAAGTTCAATTGTTTTACTATTAATCTTAGTATTTGAATATACGTTATGATTTACTATATAATTCGTCAAAAAAACGTATAGAGTCATCAATATTTCTAAACCATACACGGACAAACATAAACATTGAGAGATTTGCATGGGCGTTGAAGCTATAATATTATCTCAATGTACAGAATAAAAATATTCTTTCTCGATAAAATGAAAGCCTGACTTTTTCCACTTCTCAATAACATTCTCAATCTCACTTTCTCACCTCTTTATTAAAATAAAAAGTAAATATAAATTATCCTTTTAAAAGTCAATATTAAATTATATTCTATCAAAATGTATCGGTCGATTGAATTAGCAAATATGTTTAATCAATTGATACCACAGCATCGAACAATCACGAGAGACATGAGAACCAACAAACTTTACACGACAAACAACTGATTATTGATCTACTTTTTATTTCGCATTATCAAACGAAACAAAAAATACGCATAACCACGTCCGCACTCGCGAAACACGCGAGAGCAAACTGAATAGGTTCGGTGGCTTCTGATAATAATAAAATTTGTGTTAACTATATGTTTGGTGTAATCATTAGAAAATTGAAAGGCTCTATGATTCGGTATGCTTTAACGATTTCCTTTAGAAATTGCTTTCGTTATTTTCTATGTGTTATTGGCAGTAGTTGTACATAAATTAATTTAATTTGTAGTGAAATAAATTTATTTAACAGTTTTATCAGTATTTTCTTATAATTGTAATAAATATATTAGTAAAACTTATAAACAGTCGTTTCATTTTTATTACAGAAAATTTCATTATAAAATCTTATCTTTTTATGGAAAATAATTCATTTCCATTGTTTCTTATTATAAACGTTGATTGATTTGAATGTTTTTCACATCCATCTAGACGTATTTACGGAAACTTTACTGTTTATCTTCGAGCGCTCGGTTGAGAAATATTATAATGGATTCCTATTTTATCGATTGATTTCTGAACATTTTTAGGTTATATTGATGCTGGCTTTGTTGATGTCAAGTAACATCAGTTAGTGTCTACTTCTTCAAAACAATTATCAGGGCATAAGTAATTGTACATAATAATTAATACAAAATAATTTAAAAATGACGAGGCATGCTAGGAATTGTACTGCTGGAGCAGTTTATACCTATCATGAGAAGAAAAAGGATGCAGCAGCATCTGGATACGGCACAAATAGTCAAAGAGTTGGAAAAGATTCTTTGAGAGATTTCGATTGTTGTTGTTTATCTTTGCAGCCTTGTAGAAATCCTGTGATAACGTAAGTTTATTAGCTTATTTATTAAATTATTTAAACTTAAATATAATTCTTATATAAACATTAGGATACAACTATTTTTAACTTAATGTTCTAAAGAAAATAAACATTATATCCATAAACGAACTTGCATAAATTAATTACAATTAATAATTTGTATTGTTAACTTTTATTGTTGTATTAATAAATTTATTACACTTATCAATATGCAATTACAGAAAGGATGGATATCTTTTTGACAAAGAAGCCATACTTGAATACATTTTAACGAAAAAAAAAGAATATACAAGAAAACTTAAGGAATATGAAAAACAGAAAAAAAAGCAAGAGGTTAATTAATAATTTAGGATTTTAATGTTTAATTTTGGAGTTTAAATTTTATTCCATAATACAAAATTTATCCCTTTACTTAGGAAAAATTTCAAGAACTAACTGCAAATGAAGAATTGGAAAAGTTACAAAATTTTTTAAAAGGGGAAAAAACTATTGTATTTAAAAAAAATAAATCTAGCGACGAAGCTAAATCTTCGGTGTCTAACATGTGTAATGGTCGAGACAAAGACCTTCCAAGTTTTTGGATACCATCGAAAACACCAGAGGCAAAGGAAGTGACTCTTCAGAAACCAGATAAAAATATTTATTGCCCAATTAGTGGAAATATTCTTAAATTAAAAGATCTTCTTCCAATTAAATTTACTGAAATTAAAGATCCAGATGATAAAAAATCATTGATTATTAAACAGGCTCGATATATGTGCCCAATAACTCATGATGTGTTAAGCAATAGTATTCCCTGTGCAGCTATAAGAACTACGTAAGAAATTATTATTTTAGATTTAATATCCTTTTAAATTAGAATATTTTATTTATAATATTCTTTGGATATGATTTTTTATCAATTAATTATGCAATTAATAACAAATGAAAATTTGAAGAAAAAAATTAAGTAAAAGTATCTATATTATAATACATTACTTATGCTTACTAATTGTATTTTAGAGGTGACATAATAACAATGGAATGCGTAGAAAAAATTATAAAAAAGGATTGGATCAATCCTTTGGATAGCACAAAATTAACAGAAAATGATATTATTCCATTACAAAGGGTAATTTATAATTATTATACTTAAATAGCCTTGAATAACATGTAATTAAATTGTGTAAAATAATGTATTTTTAGGGAGGTACAGGTTATTCAGCAGCAAATAATGACTTAGAAGGAAAGCATGAAAGGCCTGTTTTACAAGCTTAAGTATCATCATATATTACAATATCTTATAATTTGTATTTTGAGTTGAAGGATAATTTCTCTAGAAACACATTTAATAATTATAGTATATAATAAATATATTAAACTAGAATATCATCACCAAGAACATTAGCATTAACAATAACCTAACACACAAACATACCCACACACTCAGTTTAATAATAATAAATTTTTCTTAGCATTGGTGAAGATTATATATAAATATTATGTATATATTATTATCAATTATGTAATTTTGAATATCGAGATGATTGAAAATATGAAAATATTTTAAAATCTAAAATAATAAATTATTTCTATCACATTCCACTCTGTGCTTTTATATTTTAGAACAATTTCTACAAAAAAATACATTAAAGTATGCATAGATAAAATAAAGTGTATATATAATTAGGTGAAATAATAAATAAAATTAATAGCAAATATTTTATGCAAACATTTTTCAGATTCATACTATTATGAAGTTATATATATATTAATTTTAAAAGAAATTACTAAATTATTATACATATGGATATAATTATAATGAATTGGCTACATTTGATGAATATTTAAAATTTCTAATATAACAATATAAAATAAATATATTTTATATTTATTTAATTACAAAGATTAATAGTAATTTATATATGAACAATGATTTTATGAATAAATGTATCGACATTTCTAAGAATATTTAAATATGAGATAAAAAATAAAAGTAATTAAACTGAAGGTGACTAATTGATTCTCAACTGAAAAAGAGAGTTTGATCATATTATTACATGCGTGTTAAATTCTGTGTTAAAAATAAATAAAAATTCTTTCATAAAGTAAAAACTGTAAAAATTTATTTTATATTTTATTTATAAAAGAATAATTTATTCAAATAAAACAAAGTAAAAGATATATGTTTAATACAATTTTAAAAAGTTGTATGTATTTATGTATTACTAAGCAATGATTTTTTTTAATAAATCTAACGTCATTTACAAAAATAAAAATATTTAAAATTAATTTGCAATATTTGTTATAAAAACTATACTCAAATGTTGAATTTGAACAGTATTCAAATAATGAATTTGTCTATAAATTATCAATAATTATTATAAGCCTTTATGATGCTTAATTATCTCAAATAAAACAATTAAAAGTATTTAATTCCCATTTTAGTATAATTACTACTTAAATTTAACTAGAACCAATTAGAAATATTAAAACATTATATAAATCAAATTATTCAACTTATTATATTTACTACTTTTCTATAAAAAAAAGTTTAATTTATTCTAAAAGAGATAATTTGTATGACTTGAATAAAATGGGAAAAAAATAACAACAACAAAAAATTAAAATTATCATGTGGTTATTGATTGTTGAATGAACAATAAAGCACTTGATTATAATTTTATTTAAACTTATATATTATATGATTACTTTTATGATTTTTATTATCACATAACTCATTATTTAAACTCTACTTATTAAAAATTATAAATACTAAGATGATTGTTTAAAATAATTACATAATTGATTGAATGAAAGTTAAGTTTTATTTGAAGTTAAAATAGATTGAAAACAATTTAAAAAAAAAACAAAATAAAATTGTGTAAGAAAGGATTTCCTATCTTATTAAATTTGTTGAATGAATTTATGTACTAAATTTTGAGCAAAAAATGTTTCAAAATTTTAAATAATATTTAAATTTAAATAAAAATGTTTTTTTCAATTAACTGGGCATCGTGTATTCAACGCGTATTTAATGAACATTCTGATTTAATTTTTAAAGTATAATAAATGAATTGTTACGCGTTAAATACTTTAAGTTTCTCATTTGTTCTGATTACAAAAAGTAGGAGTAACGATATATTAAATGCTTATAATCCATAAGTATATTATCTAATTTGGCGCATTAAGAAAAATTTCAAAAATCACGTCTTCCGGAGAGTAATTGTGATTCGATATTATGTATTTTGATTATAAATAATATGTACATTAGGAAATATAGTATATATACTATAACTTATGTTTCAACAGTATTATGTTAAAATATTGTATTAATTGTGTAAGTAAAAACATAAATTTTTTTATAAAAGATAATGTTTTATCTATGGTCGAATGGTCAAAAACTTTAAGTCTAATTTCTTCGTAAAACTTAATCATAACATACATTCAGCTATTTGACAATTTTTTATATTAATTTACGCTTCTCTATATGTTCTTTTATTTACATGGTATTTTTATAAAATATACTATTATGATTAAAGACTTTTCCACTTTACAAAGCATCGTTTAAAATACTTTCCTATGCGTTTCAATTGCAGTTTTTATTTATTAATAAAAGATATGGAATTTAATATAATAAATAATTTGTAATAAGCATTTTTACTGCATTAATAATCACTATTGGAAAAAACAGCGTTTTATTATATTGTATAATAAAAATAAAACATTCTTATTTTTATTAATTGTTACAATATTTACTTTATTAGTTACTTTATTAGTTTATTAGTTTATTAATATTATGATTTTACGATATATTCTAATTGAATGTTGATTGAAAAAAAAAATGTAAAAATAAAAATTAAATATAAAATATTTATCATAAAATCCGCAAAAATCCATTACGAATACACTAAAGAAAAATAAATGAATTTTATATTTTACTTACATTCATATTTACTTGAGATACATTATTAATTTACTTTGAAAAATAATTTCTAATACTACACAATAAGTATATTTATATTGAAAAATGAACTTTTATATGTATATTTTTGAAAAAAAATTTTTACTCCAAAACTTCAAATTCTTACATTATTAGCCAACTTATCACTTTTCAATATAATCGAGTTTGGTCAGACGCGGCGTCTGACTATAATCGGAATATATCTACGTCAGTATTATTATTTTATAAATATAAATTTCATTTTAAGGCTAAAATTTAAGTCATGCTTTGCTCTTTAATAAGGTTTTTATAATATCGTATTAATAATACTTATTACTTAATAAGTACCCAGTGTATAATTAATATATTTTATACGTTAAAATGAGTATACATGCAAATATAAAGTTTGCAATATATTTGCATAAAACACTTTAAAAAGCAATGTTAAGAATAAGTATTTTCGATGTAGCTACCATTCGTAATGTTTTAAGAATTGCTATAAGGATTTAATGAAAATGCCATTTGATCACAAAAATACGAATAATTCATTTAGAACATTAAGCAGATAGTTATCTTTTAAGAATGAATCTTAAAATTAAAATAAATTATTGACACTCGTCGTGATATCATGGTTTGGGCATATATTCTCTGTTATCCTAGACGCCACCTAGTGTGAAAATAAAAAGTATTCGCTGTTACGTACGCAAATGAAATCGAGCAGTTGAATTGTCTACTCCAAGGAAAAGAACGTTTTCTGTTCGAATGACTCGTGAAGTGCTGCCGCCTCAACGCACACACTTGCACTCGATCTATTTTTTCCTTCTTAACCCCGCAACGCACGCTTTTCTGTTTTCTTTGGATGTCGGGCGACGGTAGTCGTGGTGAGACGCTGAGACGCGCGTCTACATCGCTTCTATACATTTTTTTTTTTTTTTTTTCAATAATCACGAGGTGAGAATCGGCAAGGCCGAGAGGGGAAGACCATGACCAGTCGCGGTTCTCTTTCCCCTGCAGTTATACGATCGTAACCTTGCCATTGGTCTGGGATCAACCTGTTGCGCATCCTTCCTTCGGCGTGAGTCCTGATTAATTCTTTATATTCTGATCTACATTTATCCTTTACGCGTGTTATCACACAAGCAGTGCATCAAATGAAATAAAAAATGTTCTCGAGTGTACGGGCGAACGTGTCGGCAAATTTTAAAACGCGCCCTGGTTTGCGCTATCAAGAAACTCGCGATAATAGTTGGATGCTCGAGAAACGAACGGCTTCTTGTGTGTTTTGGCTTAAAGCGACTTATTTGCTTTAGACCATAACAGTCGTAAGAATATATTAATGAAAATAGTCGGTGCTCTTATTGTAAAGTTGTTTATTAATTTCTTTTATAAGATATATAATGTTATTCGTGTTACGAGCGAAAGAGAAAGAAGTGGTATATTTATTAAATAGTTTTGTTATTATTAAATATCGATATTGAGTAAAATATCATAAATGTTTAATAGTCATTATAGGTACTTTCAAATGACTTTTCAATTCTCGCGCGCGCGTGTGCGTGCATGTGTTATAATACATTGATAAAAACGAAACTAAGTTTTTAGTCATAATCATTATATATCCAGTAATGAATAAATTATTAGGATAAATATTTGATCGATATATTATTCAATAATCTTTTCTATTATATTTTTAATTATAGAATATAAGATGTGATATTATTTATAATGATATTCGATTAGTTTCGAAGCAAAATTGTATGTATTAAAACTGAAACAATTTATCTTTTTTATTGAAATAATACAAAATATACAATGATTATTATTACTGAATACCGTACAGCGCAGTATTACTTTAGATGAATATTTTGTAAATTAATTTGTTTCGTTTTAATTCAGTACACTTCGTTAATATATTGTCGAATATTCAAGTTATTTTCAACAATTTCAATCGATATTACGTTGAAAGCAGTTAAAATTTTAATAAGGAAAACAGTTTTCACACATTTTTAGTAACTTTCAAACACAAACCGATAAGAATTTGCGAGAAGGAAATGTCATTTCTAGTTATTTTAAGAAAAATACGGTCAATTTTTAATTATTGAACCATCTGTGTATATATATCAACACATTTTAGCGACTTATATATTGAATTGTAATTATTGTAATATTTATGCTCTTCTGAAATATTATGCAATATCTACCATGAAGTTTATAAATAAATTGTGGATTTAATTGAAATTACATACAAATCTTGAAAATCAATTTTAAGATGTGGATTTAAGAAAGAAAAATTTAGCGTCAATTATTTTCAATAGAAATATATATTTTACAATTGGATATAATCGACCTCTTTATTCATTTCAAAAGTTATTGATTCGACTTCCGCAGTGGTTATATTTTTGAAATACCTATGATATCTTACAATATATATATGTGGGGGGGGGTGCGCGCGCGTGTGAAATACATACATAACGAATGATAAAGCGAATGAATAAAAAATAAAGGACTTTTG